GCATGTCCACGTTTTCCTGAGCGTTTGGGACAAGATGACATGAAGCGAGTTCATTTGCTCGACAGACACGTGCGTTGAGTCGGTGTGTGATCTGAACGCATTCTGCAAATGCATTTGACGTAAATGAGACACTGACGTTTGTTAACTGTACTAGACAAATAAGTAATCAGTGCGAGAACTAACAGCAGAGATCTGCGTGATAGACTAGTAAAAAGAGTGCAGCTCGTCTCAAAGCTCAATGGTCATCGTTCCGCCACAATACCATGGCAACAAGAGTTATTGTTATTCTAAACCCTATTTAAATTTGAATGAGATCTCCTTAAATAATTTTAAGCATTATTTTTGTCAGTGTGTTTTAATTAAAAACGTATTTATTTATTTGTTAGACGGCAGTCGTGGTTAATTGCAAGCTACCAAAGTTGAATTGTAAGTTACCTTTTCTGTTGTAGCCTGAGATTGGCAGAACTATCGTTTCCATGGTGATTTCTTTTCTTTTTATTTTTTAAGTAGTATAAGAATCACTATGAGACTGAACTCTACCATAGGTCCAAGCTATGTTTAAATTTGAAGGTTTATACATTACCGTTCAATGTTGCAATAGTTAGCAGAGGACATTATCAAGAAAACGTTCTTAGTTTTTCCAAATATGCAATTACATAAATGTGGAGAAAGTCTCAAGTAGAATATGGATCTTAATTGGAAAATGATGTGTATGTAAACATGGTCAATGAACACGGCACTGTTCACTGTACACATTGTTTCTCTTGGTTTATTATTAGGTTGGCTTACTAAATAGACATTATGAATGGCTCTGTGTTTCCAGGCCATTGATTTTTTTCAGGTTAGATTGACTTTGTAGAGCAGTGTTTATCTGAACATACAGAAATATAGTTTGCCGTTCTGGACGGTGGCTGGATGGGGAATTGGCAGGCTTGTTTTCGAGACATCTCCATTTGTAAATGAAGACCTTAACAACAAATATTTGTCGCTGTAAAAATAACCCAGCACACTGCGCCCCGCGCCCCTCACTCCGACTGCTCCCACCACAGCTGCTGGAGTTGAAAAAATGTTTTGGCAGGGTTATGGTTATTCCCAAAGCAACAATTATCCATAATTAACCCACCGGTTGCTTGTCCCCTTATGTCATATTTCCAATTTACAGTTTCAGTTTTTATTCGACCACCCATTGTGAAATATTTCATTATTAATTTCACAATGCAATTGGATAGAAGCATTAGATCTTTTCTACAGATTAATCTAATCCACATAACACTTGCACATAAATAACTGTGTTTTCAAGTATATTGCTTTGATTTATCAAAGGTTTTTGCTGGGCCATGTCTTCCACAAGTACCATAATCAGAAAACAGACACAGAATCAGCTTGCGGCCAAACCCTTGACTGTCATGTAACGAGGCGTGATTGCTGAAATCATCAGGGTGTATTTATAAAAAGAAAATCTGCATAGGTCAAACGAAATGACAGTGTTCAGTTATAATTTACTGTTATAATAGCATCCTTGTAATGTGGAATTAAAACAGTACTATTTCATTGCTGGTGGCTGGATTGCATGGTGTGCAACAATTCAGCCGTGAATTCACGTCATCGCAGGATCGTGGTGATTCATTATATCATAATGTTCAGGACAAGGATTACGTTTTTCTGTTAAATGCATTATGAAGACGTCATTTTGCAATTAAGACTATATCCTCGGGAAACAAAAAAGATATGAGGCAAATTTCCTAGAACAATGCTGGACATATTATCAGTTAAACACAAACTGTTGTGCTGTAGTTTGTCACCGAGACATAAAACATCCAGTGGCCATTGAGGTCATAAGCTGGATAAAGCGTATCTCCACTGATAGAGCAAGCATGCAAATTTAATTGCTTGAAAACATTGTTTTGGCTAGTAAGACTGCTGAGCCTCTCTGTTTTATTGTTTCACAATTTAAATGTCAATTTTGCATAATAATCAATAAAACAAAGTAATATTTCGGGCTCAATACAATAGCAACAGTAATGCTCAATTAACAGCATCTGTGGCATAATGTTGACGATCACAAAAAAAGAAAAAATGTAGACTTGTCCCTCATTTTTTTTTTAAATGAAAAAAAAATAAAAAAAAAATTCCAGAGTTAAGCCCCGTCCACACCAAGACCGATAACGACAACTATAAAGATAAAGATATTAGCATCCACATCAGCGGACGATATCGTCTGTTTATTCTAAGCGCACGTTGGTCTGCCGCTTTAAATTCTTGAGCTAGTTATAGCAGGATTGATTCTGGTTGGGTGTCGATGTTTTTATCGTTCGTCAACTGGAAAAAATTGTTCTGAAAGTGATTCCAACGATATTGTTTCTCTGTGCCTTTATCATTATAGCTGTAGTGTGGACTCTGCTATTCTTAAATATTGAGAATGATTTTTAGAACTATATCTTTATCGTTATCTTTATAGTTATCGTCTTTGGTGTGAATGGGCCTTTACTATGAGGCACTTATAAAGGAAGTGAGTGGGGCCAATTTATGGAGGATTTAAAAGCAGAAATGTGAAGCCTGTAATTTTATAAATGGACATACATTAATTATTGTGTTAAAACTTGTGTATTTAAGCTGTAAAGCTGTTTAAATTCTTCCAAAAGAGGACACAACTAGAAATCAGTGGTTAAGTTGTATTTACAACACTGTTCCAGAATAGTTCAACCCAAAAATTCAGATGTGTGCAGTGCATTTTATGGAGGATGGATGAGGACTGTTTCCTGAACCTGCAGAGTAGCCTACAA